AGCCTTAACCAAATACAGGTGTTGTTTATCACCTGCTGTCGGGCTAGCAGAAGGCGGAAGCCAGCACCATCTTAAGGGTGTGGCACTTCACAGCTCTCTACAGGCTGGTGCTTTGAAAACTTTAGGATGCTTCAGCATCTGTGGGAAGGCCTCTTAGAATAGCCCATTGGGGATCCACCCTGAATCTCTAAAGCTAACTCACTTTACACCTCTGACAAAGAGACTGCAGGTGATGTTTCTTATATAAAGATCACACAATGCAGACTACTGTCGTAATGAATGTGAGGAAAAACCTTGCCATAGGAGGGATTTGTTTTAGATGAAACCACCAAGACCAGAATTCAACCTGGGAATACATTTCTTACCAACATCTGCCTTACATGTGCTGGTTAGGTTCTACTGTCAACTTGACACAGCTGAGAGTTAACCAGTGAAGGGCAAGTTCAATTGAAGTGTTGTCTGGATCAGATTGGCCCATGGGAATGTCTGCAAAAGACTATCCTGACTGGCGATGGATGTGTGAGGACCCATATCATTATGGTTAGTGTCATCCCTTGGGAGTTGGTTGTGGACTATACAAGAAACCTAGCAGAAAGCCAATAGCAGCATTCCTCCACGGTTTCTGCCATGACTGCCCTCACTGATGAACCGTGATCTGGAAGTGTACAACAAATAATTCTTTCCTCCCCAAGTGGCTTTAGACAGGTGGAAACTAAAGCATAGTGAGAAAAGTCGCTGTGAACAGGGTCACTCAGACCCCAGGAGGATGAGCATCCAGAACCAGCTGTGATAGCTGCTCCCTTGAACTATCCATCCAGACCCAGATGTCCCAAGAGCTTGCGCTGTCTCACAGACTTCTCATTAAGCTGAAAATGAAACTCCCTAAACATTTCATTCCATACCATATGGCACAGGCCCAGCTGACAGGAAGCTCGTCTCTCCAGCACACTGGGCTCCTTTTGCTGGAGAGATGGATGTGAGATTTGTGGGGTGATCATTTCCCAATATTTAGCACCTGTAGCAGTGGTTGGATTCATTTTGATATGTCCTTTCCAGTTTTTCCAGAAATGAGAAAATACTCCCAAAGATGGAGAATGACAGATCTTATCAACTGTTCTTCAGGTAAAATATCACCGCCAATAAGAATGAGTGACTGCTTTGAAGTAACTGGAAACTATCACATGTCCTGGATTTTAGCTTAAGCAACTATGGGACAGTGAAGTTCAAGAATGACACCGTTACAAAGCTCCATGTGATAAGGTTAAGTCAGCCTGTCTAAATATTTAACATTATTCTGTGTCATTTTATTTTCTTTGAGAAGTTGGGTTTTAATATAGTGACATGAACCAAAAAGTATGAATGAGCTACTGGGGAGAGCCAAATTGATGGGTATAAGATTATCATAGTATGAAATACCATCATTCCATCTTGTGGCCAACTATTTCAAAGCTGGTAATATACAATACCATTGAATAACAGCAGGGCCACATGTTTTGTGCTCCCCAACCCATTCCAACCTACAGTTAGTATGGAAAGTCACTTCTATACATAGAAGCATAATTTGTGAGAGTTTAGAAGCTCTTTGAACTAACATTCATTTGTGGTGGAGACAACCAAATTCAGTGTTCATGACTGGGGATCTGAGCATGGGTCTGACCTCAATGTCACTATTTCTCTGGAAAGTTTCTACACATTTCCAAGTCTCATTTTCCTATCTTAAAGTAGGATTAATTGATAGGGCTCAGCAAATAACTGGGGTTTAAAGTGGTACCCACTGTAGCTAAAACAGCAGGCTAGGAAAACTTGTTCTTGGGCCTACTGAGCTCCACTCATGTATGGCTCAGTTCAATTCTGTCATCTGAAAAACAGGGGTGAGAAGATGCTATCTACCTCACAAAGCGAAAGGACAAGTAAGGGGTGGAAGAAACTAGAAATGATCCTGTATGATCACAATTGCACCCTTTGCTTTGGGAGGCTGAAGCAGGATGAGCCAAGTTCAAGGTATGCATTTACTAATACGCAATCATGTGTGGTACCCGATCAGAGCAAGTAGCCCACAGACTTAAAAAATAGGATTCATTCATGAGGTATTAGAAAAGATTTCTAGGCAGCCAGGCCTTAGGACCCTCCAAGACCCGAATCTAACTTGGTGGCAAGTTTATGGCCAAGATCAGTTTCAACTGTGACATTTCCTTTTTACAGTCAACTTGTCACAGCTTAGAGTCATGGAGAATGCAGAAGTTAAAATAATGAAACTATTTTGATAATACTCTAATGTCTGTCATCTCCACTTTCAACCCTCACCCACATTCTCTAGTGATCTTGGGGCTATGTAAATTTGGAGCTTTGTTTTATCTTCCACCAGTGAAAATGCATTGCTTGAAAGCCTGTTTTGTAGGAAACTCCCACTCTGCAGATGTGAACAGGATGCCCCTGGGAGAAGAGGCAGCTGACTGATTCAGAGGTGAGTCACTGGCTGGGGACTGAACTGGCTGGCCTCTTGATTCCTCATCTGAACAGCCTGCACCCTCACCTCCAGTTGGCCCCTTAAGGATGGTCACTTACATCTTCTGACTGCTGAGCTGATAACATGTTAAGACAAAGGGACAGGGGTCCAAGTGGGCTAGAAAGACTGACTAAGCTTGAGTATTAATTGTGTGTGTGTGTGTATGTGATCCTATGGCAGTCAAGCAAAACCTACTATATTTGAGAGGCTGTTGGGATATTCAGATAGAGAAGAAAATCTAAAAAGTCAGGGAAGAAGTCAGAACTGGGGGGATGGAGACCTAAAAGTTACCTGGCAAGGAACTTAAACAAGTATTATAAAGAGAGGGAGGAAAGGGGAGAAGAAGAGAGGGAGGGACATAGGAAGATGGGGAGAGGAGAGAAACAGAAAAGCGGATTTCCTGGGGACAGAGTGATAGAATACAAGTGATGAAGAAGATGTAAAGGGCAAATAAACAACAATGGAGAGAACAGATGCTAATTTATAATAAAAAGAACTTATAATAGCAACTCAGGACTGGCTAGCATGGCTGAGAACACAGCATGTTAGCCAATTTTCCACTGTCTATAGACCACTTTCACAACCCTCCCAGCTTGATGAAGGAAATTCGGTGATAACAGTTTCACAGATAAACAGGCACTAAGATGTCAGATACCTTTCTTTAGGTCTCATAACCAGTATAGGAAAGAAATGGGGTTAAAATAATGGTGGGATTATCTTAGAGCTTAAGCTTTCAACCACTATGCTTCAGTGAGTCTTAAGGAGAAAATAAGGAAGAAAAGAGTTAGTACTGACAGTAGCAGGGGTGTGCCACCACTGATGGAGTGCTATTTTGCACAGGGTACTGAGGGAAGCACTTGTAATACAGTCTCTATTAACTATCCAATTTCAGATGGTGAGTATCCTTAGACTTGTTGAGAAGAGAAGAAACATGGTTCAATGATGGCAGTAACCTGTCCCAAACCATACAACTCAATGTCCAACATCAGCAATTAAAACATTGCTTTGACAGTAAGATTCAAACCGGCATGCTGGGCACTTTCACTGGATAGTCTTGGAAGACACAGATCATATGCTCAAAGTCTTTGATGCAGCAGGAGTAGCATAGAGATTTCTGTTATGTTTTACTTTTAAAAAAATGGTGATGGAAAGATGGCTCAGCCATTAAATGCAATCCCTTCTCTTGCAAAGGATCTAAATTCAGTTCCCAACACCCACATGACAATTTAACAGACACATGCTACTCTGGTTCTGGGGATCAGAGGCCTTCTTCTGACCTCCAAGGACACCAGACACACACATGGCAACACACAAACATATGTATAAAAATACTCATACACATAATATATAAATAAATGGGTCTTTATACGATATTTTACAAATAGCTTCTTTCATTCTCTTTCCCTCCCTTCCTTTCTTCTGTCTTCCCACCCCCACCCCTCCCCTGTCTTTCTTATTTCTTTCTTTGAATAAGAGCCTTACTCTGAAGCTCGATGCTCACTTTTAGCAAAAATTAAATTCAAGTTTGCAGCAGTCCTTCTGTCTTTGCCTTGTGAGTCCTAGAATCAAAAACGTGAGCCATCCTTTTGGCTTATGAGTACTTTGAATATTGACTTCTCAAACCTATCCACCAAAGCATCTAATTCAGTAAGCTATGGTTACATCCTTAAACTTAAACTTAGAAAAAAACTCCTTGGATTATTCTTTATTTGCCAACAGGTTGAGAATTTACCTAATCATGTATCAAGTAACCTGCTGGTCAGTAAGAAAAGCATATCCTAAATGTATACTTCCTTATATGAGTACACATTGAAACCCAATGGTCACTCTTGAAACAGGAACCAATGTGAATTAATAGTGTGAGAAAAGCTCACTGTGATAATCAGGGTCCATGCAGGTCAAACTACCTTGCTTTAAAAGAACCTAGGAAAGTGGCCTCACTTATACTTCTCTACCCCGTTGTTTGTGTTTGTGCTCCTATAACAATATATTAGTGAGTATATGGCTTAAAACAACATATTGCTTTTTTTCTACACAGTTTTGGAAGTTAGAAATTTAAGATCTGGTGTCAGTCTGGTCGGTCTCTGAGGATGGCTATCTTCTAGATATAGATTGCCAAATCCTCCTTGTGTTTTTATAAGTGAGGGAAGGGAAAGAGCAAGGGACACAGATGAAAAGAGAAGAGGGAAGAGGGAGGAAAAGAAAGAGGGAGGAAGAGGAATAGAGGAGAGGGGAAGGGAGTACAAACTACCAAATAACCAGCATCTTCATTTCCGTATAAGGGACCCCATGTTACTGATAAAAGCTTCAATCAACTTCAGGGACAGATTTCCTGACGAAGGTGTAATCTCTGAGCACTGTCATACTAGAAGGTTAGAATTTTAATATGTGCGCTGGGAGAAGGCACAAGCATTCAATGGGATGGCATCATGCCATTTTTCCTTTGAAATATACATGGTAGCATCCATCAGATTACATGTTTAAATTCCCTCACCTAAGACTCGCAATCTCTCAGCTCCCACGACCACTTCATTGTCATCCGCAGAAAAGAGCAATTTTCCAGAAACAGTTTTTACTTCAAACTTTTTGCCATATGCTTCCACAGCTTTCGGACCTAAGAGGAGAGAGAAAGAAGGAGAGGAGGAATATATTAGCCTTGTCTAATTTGACTACAAAAGCTTTTCATAGGGCATATGCACTTCCCAAGATTGTGTCTGATTTTAATATTAAGTGGATTGGTTTTCTGAAGCCGACCATGGAAATCAGTGTCTTGACTGCATCTCAACTTGTCAATTGCTTTTAATCACATGGTCCTGGGATGTGGTTTTAGAGGTCATTCTATTCTCCTCATGAGAAAGCTTGAATAAGATTTCTCTCTGCTAGCCCCAAATTAGTGTCAAACACTTGGGGGCTTTTGATCAAAAGTGTCAGGACCCAGAATATCATAATCTCTTGGGAGAACTAACCATATTCAATTAGTTGTAAATAACAAAAAGTGTTACCTTAAGTTGAGCTGAAATGTGTCTCTTTTATATCCTTGGTCCACTGACTAACACGAAGACAAATGTATTTCCTCAACAGACAGATAATTTCCAAGAAGAAATAGCTAATATCATGATTAATTCTCCTACAAGTCTCTTATAGTATGAATTAATTTAATAAAAATATACTCTGAGTTCATTGTGATATCAAATGCTGTTCTTGAACATAGGCTGTCTACAGCAGGGTATAGGGGTGGGGAAACCTGGTCCTATCACACCTGTATCCTGATACAGCCAAACTTACAGATTCAATTTAATTTTTAAAAATTTTTATTTATGTATATTGCATGTATGAGCATTCTGCATTTATGTCTGCATGCCAGAAGAGGGCATCAGACAGAAGAGGGTATTAGATCCTATGTGAGCAACCATGTGGTTGCTGGGAATTGAATTCAGTTTCTCATGTCCTCTGGAAGAGCAGCTAGTGCTCTTAACCACTGAGCAATCTCTGCAGCCTCCAGATTCAATTTATTAATGCACCAGAAACCTCCAGAGCTTTAGCAAGAAAGTGGGCTAGTTAATATATCCAAGGTCCTGACAGAGTTATCTAACTCTATCTGAACTGGGACTTCCCCAGCCCCTACAGTAGCTCCCAAAGGCCAGTCCACATGCAAGCATCTGAATAGCAAGGTCATCTTTACTTGACTCCAGCTCAGATCAAATACAGTCTATCTTGGTCTACCCTGTAGTAAAATTGGACAGTAAAATCAAGAAAGGTTCTATCTTCTCAAGAGGCCAATGGGATTCTGATGGTGACTTTTGCTTGTTTCCTTCTAGGAAATTTTCAAGAGACTATTATTTAAAATACGTAGCTATGAGAGGACCAGCAGACTATACCTGTAGGGGTCAAGGAACCTTTAGCCATCGCAGGGAGGAAGAAAGCACTTCCCACACAAATACGGGAATAGGGACAAAAATCTGTAGCAAGGACTTACTGTGGGATCTAAGCTCATGTTGGGCTATTGTCAAGGAGGATGGGCTTAAGCAAGCAAGATTTAGATGAAATATTTTCAGGGTATGATTGAGTACCCTAATAACTCTCATCTAGAAGTAGGACAGAGCTGTGCAATGCTGAAATGGTTTTGGGTACACAACAGTCTGTGATTTCACCTGGGATGAGGATACTTGGGGTCTTGTGGTCTGGAGAAGGTTCATGCTTTTGTCTGTGTTCAGCAATGTTGAGAGAGAGAGAGAGAGAGAGAGAGAGAGAGAGAGAGAGAGAGAGAGAGATTAAAGAGAGAGTTTATACACTTGTGTACGTGTGTGTATGTATGTATGTATGTATGTATGTATGTATGTATGTATGTGTTTTGATGACTCCACCCATTATGGTCCCTAAAGGACCCTACCTAGGAATCTTTTGTGAAATTACTTAAGTTTAGCTGAAATCTGGCTATTAGAACCAGAACAGCTCTTGTATATGTGGGATGACTTTCGTTGTCACAGATATGGGACTTAGAGTCAAAAATCCCCCTTCCCTTCTGCTTTTGGCAATGTGGTTGTAGGCTGTTGGGGAAGTCTTATGTCAATAAAGCACTAATACAGCGTCTTGTGTGTTATTTGGGGACTACAATGTGGAAGAGCCCAGGCGGCTGGCAGGGGATAAACCAAAGCAGCTAGCAAAGAAAAAGCTTCTCTTTACAGTAGGCAAGTCATTTTATCTTTCTGTTTTTGTGTATGCAAAACCAACTATCATCATCTGCTCTGTGGACTGCATAGAAATGCTGCAAAGAGCAAATGATACTGAATTCATAAAATGAACTTGGAGGCACAAAAATGCCATGAGTTTTGATGATTGTTCCAGTACATATTGTTGTCACCATCATCATTGCAATCAGCATTCTTCTACTGAGATGGCTGCAATGTAGTGAATCTCTTACTGCGCTTTGCCCATTCACATACTCACATTCAATTAGCAGACCACCTCCTCCCTTGCCAGGATATTCACATTTACTCTCTAACATGAAAAGGTTCATAGCAAAAGTTCCTTAATGAGCCAGAGACTGAAGCAGCTGAGATCATACAGGATCTACAAGCACTTGTGAGTCCTGGAGATGTTCTTGTCTGGTTGCACAGGAAAAAAAAGGAATGTGAAGTTACAGCTCCCTCAAGGTCACTGTCAGAACAAGGGAGAATCTGAGAATGGAATTCAGCTCTCAGAATGCTACATGGAACACAAAGTATCTCTCTCTGTTTAGGAAGGTGAAGAGGGCTAGAGTCAACACATCCTGAACAGCAAGGGGATAACATTTCTGAGGAAGAGGAAATGCAGAAATCAATGACAAAGAACTCAAGGAAATTTCAAAGAACAATGTGTAAAGGATTTAGAGTAGGTATTCCTGCATGAGTTACGACGTAGCTATCTTATTGATGACATTAAAACTTGAAGTGAAATCTACACTGTTTGTTAATTCTAGAAGAATAACACTGTTTTGATGGAGAGAAATTGAAGATGGGAGAGACAATATGCTAATGAAAAATTAATGCACAACCTCAGGATGGACATGGACAGGTCAGGGCACTTTGCCAACTCCAGACCTAGACATATGGCGATACGACAGTGAGAGACAGATGCTTGGTCTTGGCCTCCATGAACCTGGCAAGATTGTCAGACATGGCTCCAGGGTTCTTGCATACAACCTGAGCTCACTGGACTCTGGAACAATATGTGAGACTTATGGGGGCAGGTTATACTATAAGAGACTATAGCAAACAGAACATACAAAACACAATTAAGTTGTCTTACTTTTCAGAGAACCACAAAATATAAAATAGAATTTACCAAGGACCAGAAACATTTGCCAACATAAAGCATAGCAAAACATAGCTTTAGCCAAAAGTCCTCACAGTGACTGCTGGCTAGTTGGTACAGAGAGCTTTTTCTTTGTTGGTTTTACCTGGGGCTGCCAAAACTCCCTGGTCATGACTGGACTCTTAAAAGGTACTCCTAGAGTGAAATTCTAGTGGAAATGTTTTGGAAAACCCACAGTGAACCTAAATCTGTTTGCGGGGACAGAAAGTCATCATGACTTCTGGTTTGAAGTTCATCTTCATTTAATGCCTTTCTATCATCGAAGAATATGCATGACTCTTCAGTTTCTTCTTTCCAGCTGGGAGGAGAAGGCAAAGTCTCAAGGGTGTAGGTGCTGTGGCCACCAGGAATCTTAAGGCAGGGAAAACCCAGTGCTTATTACCCTAATTTCTTCTTCAGGACTAGGAACTTTTCCTCTCCTAAAGCTGTTTTCCTTACAGGTTCCAGGGCTCCATAATTGGATTGTACTCAATCAGTAGCTTTGTGAGTCAAAAGCACCAGTGGCCTGATTTGAATTCTACCACTGGAAGTAATGCTTCATGCAAAAAGATGAGGTAAACTTGGAACATGGGGCATTCTGGTGCACTTTCAAGATATTTCCCAGATAAACACAAGAGTTGTAGAACAGTCAGGGTTGCTATGCTCAGAAGGCATGAGAGTTTGCTTTGTGTAGTAGTATGTCCCACAGAACAGGGATTAGAAAGCATTGTTTTTACCTCTTTTTGTTTTTCCAGAATTAGCTTATCTTTTTTCTCATTTGAACAGTAAGCATTGCTGTCTTCCAGCTCCTAAGAGGGATTAATTTAGGGATCAGAGATCCAAAGACTACTGGAAGGCAATAGAAGAAAGAGAGGTGGAGAGAGGAAGGGAAGAGAAGGCAACCAGATGGTCTAAAGGGGCGGAAGGAAGAGAAGGGGTAGGGTAGTGGAAAGGAAGGGGGTAAGAAAAGAATAATGAAAGGGGGGATAGGAAGAAAGAAGACTATAGAAAATGGATGAAGGAAAGAAAGAGGACAAAGAAAGGGGTGGGAAGAAAGAGGAGAGAGTGAGCGGGAGTTGGGAGGAAAAGAAAGATGAAAACAGAAAAAAGAGAAGAAGAGGGAGGAGGGAAAGACACAGAAGCAAGCTCTCTTTAGAGTAGTAATAGTAATTTTCAGCTTTATCAAAGCACGCTCTTTCAAGTAAACCAAATCTCTTACTGTAGACAAATGGTTACTGATCAACAGGCTAGATCACTTCTTTTTCAATCAGTTCTGGGAGCTGGAGGTTGGATTTATCTCCTTCCTGGAAGCACTTTTCATACAAGCTGCTTAAACGGTGCTTCCTAGACCTGTTTATTTAATTATTTAGCACCAGTGACTGGAGGCCAGATGTTATATAAGCAAAACCTAGAGTCCAGATGTTTGCTGTAACAGTGTGTTTGTGCATGATATTCTCTACTCGGCAGTATTTCCACAGACTCAGGAGTTTCTTAGCTGTGTATGGTTCAGTCCAGCTCAGGGCTATGTAACTCTGAACATCCATCTGCAGCTTTGTTGGGAGGAGGGTGGCAGGGAGCAGGGCTCTGTGTGCAAAGGCACCTGCTTTCTTATGACTCAATTCCTACAGGATCTCTGGAAATTATACTCACAGTAATGTTTTAGGGCATTTGGGTACTCTCAAAAAATCCATCAGCCCCAAAGCCAAATGGCCTTTTCTTCTGGAGGTCTAACAATGCCACTCTGACCCACACTTTCCCCTTCACTGGGGGTAGACAATGCCTGTCTGTTTACCACATCTTGCAAACCTACAGAGGATGCATTGATCACACCACTCAACACATGACTGTGTCCATGAGGCCCATTCTTATCAGTGGAGTCATTATTCTGAACAACCAATCTTTGTTTAAGTTGTTAGAATTCAAAACTTAAAACCTAGAGGGCATTTCCCACGACCATTAGGAAAAAATTTTCTGTATTAAAAAGAACCACACATATATGACCTGTGTACCCATCTGGAGCTAGCAGTTAAGTTGGGCTCAAAGACAGCAAGCATAGAAAAGAGGGTGGGGCTTCTACTATCATTAAAGATCCCTTTCCAGGGGCTGGGGAGATAGCTCAGATAGTAAAGTGCCTGCTGTGCAGGCACTGAGGACCTGACTTTGGATACCCAATTCCCATGTTAAAGGTAGGCATGATAACTGTGTCTGTACCCCCAGCGCTGGCATGATGAGGGATGGGGGGGGCAGAGATAAACAATTCCCTAATTAATTGACCACCCAGTACACTTTGGCCTCAGTGAGAGATGCTGCTCAAAAAACTAAGGTGGAGAGTGACTGAAATATACACCTCTGCCCTTTATGCACATATGTGGACACATGTATATATGCACAAGGGCGTAAACATACAATCATATACTCACATATGCCACAAACACACCCTCTGCTCTCAGTTTAGTATATCTGGCCTTTATTCCACTGTTGTAAAGGGAGCCTTGGACAGCATGACTCCATGCTCAAATTAAAAACAGCAGGTTCCATACTAGGGTCTACAATCTCCAAAACCATGGGCTTTTGGCTCAGATTACAGAACCAGGCATTAAATTCCTTCCTGGAAAACCAGTACCATCTAATCAGAAAGCCCTTGGTTAACTTGTAACTGCTGTGTTACTGCTGCACAAGTAGGGACATCTTGGTAAGCCTGTATTGCAGCATGAAGGCTCATGCCACCAAATTTCCTTCTAAATATTATTTACCTGATACCCATACATTGCTCTCACACTTGAATCAGAGAAGAATTCTTTTTGCCATGGGAATCCATCAGTGGAGAAATTCACAACTGGTCAGAAAGTGCTAGAGAAAGAGACAAGTACTCAGCCCTAACTGAGATGTCCATATCAACCCCTATTCCATCAAGGCTCAGGGGTTGTCGCAGAAGATGAGGTCAAAATGACGGAAGAGCTGGAGGATAGGGAGGAGTGCTGTGAAATGCTGTCTTCTGGATGTAACACGGCTATCATGCTTATGAACGTATAGCAGTTGTGGTTCCCTGCACAAGACTATAGAAGACCAAGCCAGCCCAAATCCCAGCATAGCTCCTTACCAAGGAACTACAAACAGTGGATAGTTGTTGGAGGATGTGGCCACTGGTAAGTTTTCCATAGTCAAGCGAATACCCCCTACCTGCTCATGTATAGGCAACACTAACTAGAATTAGTTACTGAAATGAAGAGACATTAAGTTGGGTAGGAGTGTGCTGGGGTAAGTTGGAGGGCAGAAATGAGGGCTATATATGATCACACCTCATTGCATATATGTACAAGATTCTCAAAAAATAAACAGCAAAATTTAAAAGTTTTCTTGGTGAGAGCCAGTTGAAGCAGCTAGCTTGTGTTTAGGGGCTATGTTCTACTAAAAACAGCTTTTCTGTAAAAGTAAGTGCCATGGCGCTTGGTAAGTTAGCCATGGGAATACATGGGACTGAACCTGGGTTTTCTTTCTTTACAGAGTGCACAGTCAGTAGACCTTTGTCCATGTTCTGGACATGTGGGATCTCACAGAACAGGACAGTCTGTTTTGTCTAGGTGCTCAGATGGAACAGCTATTTGTCAATTTGTTCTTCTCTTACCTGTCACCAGCCGAGTCAGCACTTTTGTCTGGTCATTGAGAATGTTCACTGTCACATTCCTGGCAGATTTGAAGTATAGGGCATTACCCTGGAATAAGAAAATGGGAGAAGCACATGAAGGTGACAGTAATAATTCTACAATAAAAGGACTGTAATCTCAATTCTCTGAGGGGCTGATGTGGTTCTAGCCAAGTTCTGACTGATACATCTTTGTTTTAGAAGTCCAGATATTTAATAGCACGTTATGATGACCACACAGTCAGCATGGATTTCCTCCAAAGAGACAGACCTCCAACACATACAGGCACACACATGCACGCACATGTGCACATACACACACACAATTGAATAAGAGATAGTAGAGACCTAGAGCTTTTTGCATCTTAGTGTGGAAAAGAGCTAGCCTTGGAGCATAGGAGCAAGTTATCACCTGCCAGCCATGTCCCTTCTAGTTTCCAGTTGTGGGATGCCTTGCTCAGCCTGGATGCACAGGGGAGGGGCTTGGTCCTCTCTCAACTTGATATGCCAGAGGGATCTGTTGACTCTCCATGGGAGGCCTTAGCCCTCTCTGAGGAGTGGATGGGAGGGGCAGGGAGAAAGTGCAGGGAGGGAACTGGAGGAGAGGAAGTAGAGGAAACTGTGGTTGGTGCATAGAATAAATACAATATTTAAAGTTTTTTTTTAAATAGGGAAGAAAAAGAACCTGGGAGAGACAACATTGTCAGGTAGACCTCGGCCTGCCCATTTTTCCTATTCTCCTTTCTATCATTTTCCTCCAAGTACTCTGGGATTCCATCTACTCTCCCCGTTATCATATAGGTCTCCATATTTCCCTTCTACACTGTACTTCCTTCCCCCATTAGAACAAAATTCAGAACAGGGCACAGCATGCTATTGGACAAGCCTGATCCTAAACCTTATGAGATGTGTGACCTCTGTTGACATGCCTCACCTCTTCCATTTTGGTATAGTTTGTCCTCAATGGATAAACACAAGGAGGCATGGCTATACCCCAAGAAAATGTAGTAATCTTTGGATGTTATATTGTTTTCATTTCATATTTAAAATATTATGCAAATGTAATGTGTCATGAGGTATTATTTTCTTTGTCCTTCCCAGTCTTTAAAAGGTAAAAAACCCAAATAAAAAGAAAAGAGCAAACAAACAAAATAAATAAAACAAGCAAAAACTCTGAGTAGTTTTATAACATTCAAAGCCATTATTTGTCAGTTTCTGGTTCAGAAAATCCTTTTCAACAATACCTGTTGGTGGCATCAGTTTTTTTTTATTGGAAAACTTAAAAAGTACTTAGTAGTAAGTATTGTCTAAATCTGTCATTGAATGGTATGTGCCACAAAATTCATTAATAAATCAGTTTAATGAGTCTGTCCAAATGTAATAAAAACATCCTATAAGACAAACTGAGTCTGCTCAAAGTCTTGTTTTGTTCTTGTTTTTGTTTTTGTTGAGACCAGGCTTCTTTGTGTAGGTTGGCTGTCCTGAAACTCTGTAGATCAGGCTGGCCTTGAACTCAAAGATTTGTCTGCCTCTGCTTCCCAATTGCTAGGATTAAAGGAATGTATCACCACTGCCTGGCCAAAGTCCTGCATTCTAGTGGGTGCAAATATAATAAATACAGAATAATGGGAGTGATTTGGGTGCTACAAAATGTTTGAAGGGCCTTCCTGATGGGTGGAGTATTTGTAGCTTCAGGCTGAACAGTAAGAAGCATGTGAGTCTTCCTGGAGTAGCAAGTACTAATGAAGACACTTGGAAGGAACACAGGCATGGTTTCAGCAAGTTGAAATGAAAAATGAATGTCAAGAAGGTAGTGTGGGTTGGGTGTCCAATGCATTTTTCCTTCAGTGTTTGATGAGGCTAGGGATTATCCCTAAGCCCAACCTAGTACCTGCTTATGACAGAGGGAAAGAACAGCAGGAGTGATAGCCAGAACTGAGGCTGAGGCCAGTTGTAGCTTTTTTACTTGGAAGAGAAGGGAAGGCATGGCAGTCACCAGACATCCACAACCTGGGCTTACACTGTCTCTCGCCTAAGGCAAATTGCTAAAATGGATTGATAAACCCAGGGAAACCTTGGATGTGAGCTGTGGACTAGTTAGTGTTCAGAAGAGAAAGGATGGCCCCAAATTCTCAGGTGATGTGGAGTCACTGTGATCCCTACAATGGCTTAAAGCTTAAATTTCCCTTGATATAGAAAAATCTTTATCTTTAGTTTAATTCAGTTAGAAGCACACAGAATTTATATATTTTTGTTTCTAGTAGCACTTATTAGCCCTATTTAAATCTCAAAAACATTAAAATGATATTGAATTTGGAAAAAAAATTTCATGTATTTGTCAACCTGGCTCTACAGAGAAAAGAGTTGCCTGGAATCAGGGAAGTAGGTACCCTGACTACCATATGACCTTGAGAGCATCTGTTGTAACTATGCCATTCTCTGCCATCAATACCAGTGTCATTATGAAGCTCATTGCCACCACAGTTGAACACTTATTTGTGCTGGATGTGCAGTAGGAGACTTGAAATGCAGCTAATTTCCCATCTCCGCTCTACCACCTACATGCAAGTCATGTGACACTGATGAATAACTTAATTATCCCAAGGCGTGCTTTCTTTACATGATAATAGAAATGTCCATTATTAAACTTTTAAGTATCTTTATTGTTAACTTGTAATTAACTTATACATATAATTGTTAAAATAGTCATGGATTGGTGCCAGGAATAGATGAAGCCCTCAGTAACTATCAGGGCAAGACGCGGAGAGAAAGGAGGGCAATGAAAGGAAGATTAGGAAGGTTGAGGGGAAAGAAAGAATAGGAAGAAAGCAGGGAAAGAATGTGGGATGGAGGAATGGGAGGAAGTGTGGAAGACAACCCTATTGCATCTCTGGTTTTCCTCAGTCACCTGTGGAATGATTTATTAATTTCTTCCAGTTCTAGTATTTTCAGCTTCTATATTTCAAAGTCTCCCTTTCTCTACACATGCCATTAACATAGCACTGCCTTTCAAATCCCAGTATCTTCAATCACTACTTGTGTGTTCTTGCTGATATACAAATTATTTTGTCATTAACAGTATCTTGTAACAGCTTTGTTCTAGATTTTATAGTAAGACAGATTATACAACCACTCACTTCATGTTTTACTTATTCATTTATTTAATTTTTATCATGCTAATTTTTATTTTTGAAATGCAAATATAATCACACAAATTCTCCTTTTCCTTTCCTCCCTTCAAGACTTCCATGTACCATGCCACCAAGTTCATGGCCTCTGGCCTCATTAGTTGTAATAAACACACATATACATACATACTCCTAAATATATAGATATACAACCTGCTGAGCTCACATTAATGTTACATACATATGTATATACATACATATACACATATACATACATACACACACACATACACATACACACACACACACATACACACACACGATTTCAGAGCTGTCCATTTGGTTGAATAATTTCAGGACTCTTCAATAGGGAAGACTCTTTGTCCTACTCTCAGCATTCCTTGGTTGCCTACAGTTCTACTTCTAGTGCTAGAGCCCTGTGACATATTCATTTATATATGCATACGTCTGTATGTCTGTGTGTATACGTGTGTACACATGGAGGTCAGAGGAAAAACTTGCAGAAGTCAGTTCTCTTTTTCCACCGTGTGGGCTCCAAGGATCTAATGAGGTGGTTAGGTTTGGTGACAAATGCCTTTATGCTTGCTTGTTTCTTTTGTTCAACAAATCAAAACATTCTACTTGAGCATTAATTGTTCTAACATGCTGGCATCTTGGAACACTGAATTTTTGCTACATCGGGGTTTAAACAATGGGCTTCATTCTTGCCCATCACTTCCTGTTATAGCCTTCAAGTTTACTTGTAATAGAAAGGTTATTGGGGAAAAGGACATGAGCTAATTCACAAAGGGGAAGAGCCTCACATGGCAGCCGGGCCCAGTGAATTTCATTTTGTTCTTTGACTGTTTCTAACAGGAAGCCAGGAAAATGCCAGCCAAGCAAGCACTCCCAGGACCTCTGCTGTATCAGAACGTGTGAGGTGTAAGAAGAGATGGCAATGTGTGTCCCCCGGGCTTCTCCTCTGCTCCCTTCACTGTCCCATGCATCACAGTGACCCTCAAGGTGACCTAGTAGGACAAGGACCCAGAGGAAGCTGCCTGGGTGGTCAGAAAGGAATCTGCAGACTCATCTGATGGCCAAAACCAGGGAGTCAGACTGTGGCCAATCAACCCTCTCTTCTGGACATGATGAGGCTACCTGTGAGGTATGGGAAAGATGCCAAACACCATATTTTGTGCTGGAACTTGTAGCACACAGATACTTTGGCAGAAAACACATCCCCACCTCTTAAATTCTTTCAAACAGACTCACAGAGCACGGTGCAAACTTTTCTTGATGTCTTGGGGTCATTGCCATGAACATTATTCACTCCTTCATGCCCTCCAGTGACTGCTGTATGCAAGAGGCCATTTCAACACCAAATAGCTCTATCCTACTGACATTTAAAATTATTGTATCTGTTTAAAAGTATATTATTTATTCTTATATTGAGACAGAACAGGTAAATGTCAAATCTGTGAGACTTACAGCAAAGAGCTATAATTCAGGTCTTTCAGCGCTACAAGGGCTTTCAATGCAATCACATGTATCCTCAGAGATTTTGTACCCAATAGCCCAACATGTCCTTTTCTGCTATCTTCAGCATTATCAACATTAGATGTTATTCACTTACTTTCTCCAGTGGTATAAGTTCTACTTAGCTTTGAGTAAATCACTCTTCTTAGTCTATACTATGATTATGTATTGTTATTTACAGTCTAACAAGGAATCTATCTACATTTCTGTGGTGATTTGAATGACAATGGCCTCCACAGGCTCATATAATTGAAAGCTTAGTTCTCAGTTGGTGGAAATATTTGAGAAGCATTAGGAGGAGTGACCTTGTTAGGTGAGAAGATAAACAGACAAGGCCTTGATTGAAGCTGTGGTTGGAGGCTGGGAAGGAATCACAGACAAGAGAGGTGAACAAGCTTAGTGAGAG